AAAGGAAAGGAAAGGAAAGGAAAGGAAAGGAAAGGAAAGGAAAGGAAAGGAAAGGAAAGGAAAGGAAAGGAAAGGAAAGGAAAGGAAACTTTCAAGAAGAGCAACACAAAATTCAAGGGAAATAAAAAAAAAAGACAGCATTAAACCTTAAGGGCTGGAGGGACAGAGAAGGCTCAGATTTTGGCCGTATCACTCACCACTCACATTTTTGTCTCACAGAGCTCACAATGATCCTCCTCCTGATAACTCCTTTTGTGTCTTCTCCTCACACCTACATTTTCAAAAAACTGTCAAGAATAAAGAGAGTATATGCAAGATAGACACATATTTCTGCCTCTCTGAACCAAAGCTTTGGCATGGACAGCTGCTGACATTACAGCATTAAGGAGTTTCATGGGCTCTGTTGGCTTTTTAGACAGGCTTCAGTGGCAGTTCATCAGGGGTTTTAAAGATGTAATTTTAATATTTTAGCAGATCCTAAGCCAAAAAATATAATTACCTGAAAAGCCAGAATTAGTAGAATGCAATGGAAATGTGCAAAGCCATGAGGCTGCTCTGCTCTCACGTAGCAGAATAGGAAATTACATGCTCATCAGAAGAGACAGAGGCTTGTACACTGCAGAGGTTCAACGCTCAACAATCCAGGCAAGCAACAACAGAAAGAAGAAAAAAAAAAAAAACTTTCCTCACTTTGATAAGCTCATTCCACTTAGCTATTATCTTACGTAAAGTCATATTTTTAGTTCAGGGGTTCTCAAATGATAATTTCAGACACATTAAAATTTTCCAGTGGAAGAACACAACCACGGATAGCAAATATATCTGCTGAGAGTAGATCCACTTTTTAAATTACTTTTTGTGGATTCCTCAGAAGGTAGCCACAAACCTCAGGTTGAAAGCCCATAATTACTGCTTCTGACCTTGCAAAGACCTCTTTGTGCCACAAGTTTTATATGATCTTCAAGAACTTCCTTTACTTTTAAAAACCACAACATACACAGTAAGCTGAAGAATATCCCTGTGCATTTACTGGTAGGCAGGTTTCACATAATTTTTACCAATGCCAGCAGTTCATAGGAGTACACCACAGTGATTGTTCTAGCTCTACACACCAACTTGTAGAAAAAACATCCATCTGACATTTCAACCAAAGCCTTTAACAAAAATACCAACATTATACTAAGAAAAAGAAATCAGCAAAAGTCACACCTGAACAAATAACCCAAATCCAAAGAACTACGAAAGGAATAAAAGGCCTGCATTCATTTGCTGTGTGATGAAATACAATAAAAATGTGAAATTAGGTACTTAGAGCTACTAAATAGCCAGAATTGTAGACCAAGGCTATTTTTCAGACTAAATACCATTGGTGTGGATGTGTTTTTCTTTCATATACTGGAAACAAAAGTCATGCTATGTCAGCACAGACTGCTAAATAAATCAAGGTTAGTTCAATACATGTTAAAACATTAGAGAGAAAAAGAACATTCCTTAACATGTTTAGTCTTCCTGCTAAGTGGCTAGAGAAAAAAAAAAAAAAAAAAAGGAAACTAATTTAGAGGGGGAAAAAATGGAAAAATGGAAATGATTTATGAAGTCAGTGAAATTGTAAAAAGAGAATATGAAAAATCAAAGCAAACACAGATACAAGGGAGAATTCAGGAAAAGAATGGGGGAAAGTGGTAGTTATTCATATGTCTCCCTCAGTAAAACATACAAGGAAAGATTATAATTCAAAAAAAAAAGCTGTAGAATTAATATTTTCATTAATCTTACTCAAGGGTGGCTTTTAAGTTAAACATAGATGCCACGCTGTCTTACCAAGAATTCAAGAAATCTTCTAGCAGAAATGTACATTATTTCTGAAAAGCAAGTCGGGGCTAAATTTTAAAACTACAGAACTGCAATCTTGGCAGATGTAACAGAAAAATAATCCACTCACAGCAGAATTTACTGGCATTAAATATGATGTTATGCTGCCCTCTTTGACCACAGAACCATTAAATATCCTAAGCTGGAAGAGACCCACAAGGATCACTGAAGTCCAACTCCTGACCCTGCACAGAACAATCCAAAATTCAACTATGAATTCGAAGGACTCACATCCTTTCTTGAACAGTAACTGTAAACCATGGAAAGCGAAACTGTAGAAGTATGAGGCCATCTATTGATATGTAGTGTTCATCCAAGGGCAATGGCATCAGGCATGAACCCACCCCCATTCCCATAAGGGAATGCTCATCGCAGCCCAGTCGTGGCATGGATTCTCCAATGCAGTGACAAGTACGCACAGATGATGCAAGTCTGTCAAACTACTTTTAAAATAGATCAAAATCAATTACCCTACTTGGGCTATAAGATCTCCCTTCTCCTTTCCTCCCTTAGCTCCAAATATAAATGGTAACCAAAATGCTGCCTTTGCTTACATCTCCTACAGATCTTACAATGGTACTAAGCGGCTAAACTTCTTGAAGGACACACGTGATCAAAGCAAAGCTGAAGTCATTGTTAAATTATGTCGAATTCAGGAGATCTCTGCTGTTTTCTGAGCTGTGTCCTTCATAAAAGGAGACCTTCCCAAAGCCTGGGATTTGGAACTGTTTTTTTCACAGACCATTGTCACTCAACTGGCTTGTGCTTAATTTGAAACTGGATTCTGTATCTTCTTGCCTGGCTACAACTCATAAGTCAGAAACAAACAGCAGCTCAGAGACAGAGGATTAACTTCCTTGGAGCAGTACTAGACTAAGTAGCAGCATATAATCGGACCAGAAGATAAACCAAGAACTTCAATATTCCCAGTAATACAGAAATGCCTAAAACCCACAAAATAAGTGTACATTTCCCAAACAAATCTGGTCAAGTTTGGTTGACACTGCTGTGAGGCTGTAGTGACTGTGCAGTTTACTGAGCAAGCTGCTTATGTCATAGCCAGGTATGGCTATGAGCCATACCTGTCTCCTTCTCTCTACAAAGCCAATTTCTGCAAAATGGAAATGGAACACTTCAAAATTAGAATCGCACCACTAAGATGCTGCATTTGTTTAATTCATCTTGCATCACAAAACCAGTATGGACATAACAGGTTTTGTGGACATATGTCGTGTCTCACTACAGAAAAAAAAAAAAAAAAGAGTGGGGAAAGAACAAAGAAAACATTTGTAAGTATGACTCTGACCTTTACTATTTACAAACAAATTAAATTCTACAGTATTTCAGGAAAGCATTAGTCATTCAGTAATGTACCACCTTTTTTTGCTAAAATCTAACAGGTCAAGGAAAAAATAACACAACTCCCAAAAGGCAATTGGTTCTACTAGAAGATACAAACAACGATAAACTATAGGTTTTTCTGTGTATCTAAATTACTTTGATATTGAACAGCATGCGTAGCCTGAATGTTGCCTCCTTCTGACTTCAAACGTACACTATAATTTGATTATGGTAATTCTATTTCTTGGTTTTCAGAAGAACCAATTTTTCATTCTGAAGTATCATATCAACAACATCATAATACATTACCTTAGCAATTGGAAGTGCCTCACATAATAATCCATACAGTGATAACTAAAGTCACAGTTAAGTATTTAATCTCAAAAACTATCAAATGAATATAGCAAGTGATAGAAAAGGACAATATGTCAACAAAATGATTTCCCAGTCCTCCTGTGAAAATGAGAACACTTTGCTTTCCATTTTACACTCAAACTGTGGAAACGGGAAATACAGAACATTTCCTTATGTCATAAGGAATCCCAAACCTTCAGACTACTGCCTAATTCCGTGTAGGCCCCCAAAAGTAAATAGCCAGAGCAAGGAACAGCCCTCTGTTTTACTTTAAAACAATCATAAATCTCTCCTTGCCTGGAGGACAGCACTTAGTACTCCTAAAGCTCAGGTCATCATATCATTAATTCTATTGTGCCCTCCTCAAAAAGTATTTCTGGAGCAATAGGTGGTAACTAGGAAGTGCACATCCCAAAACCTTTACCACAGGCAAAAATGAGTAATTTTAACAGGCAAAGGTTAATGCAAGAGAAAAATATATAGTCAAACACAGGAGAAAAGTAAATAACTGCTTCATTTCCTACAAACTAAATTTACTGAAAGCAGATAGTAGAAACCTGGGTCAAAGCACTGCACTGCAGATGAGTCACACACAAATCAGTGGATAAAAATATTTTGCCTCCTCTTCTCCTTTATGATCTTTCAGGGAAGAACTTTGCTTAATTAGCTAATTCCTCTTTTGTTAGTTTCTTTTCGTTAGAAATTATTTCAGATGTACTTTGTCTGAGATCCCAGTTTTATGGCCTTGGGATATTAAATTTCAGCATTTCAGACAAGCCACTCTATCCCTGTCCTGTCACTCCATCTCCATGTGATGATTGTAACACTTAAATCATTATGGAAAGCATTTAGTGCAATTTTACAAGATAGTTTATGCATTCTTGCCAAACTGCTTACCAGAACACTGGTGATCTTCAGTACACACAGTCTGCATTTTCACAGGTGTGCCTTGCCATGCAAGGCTGAAATCACCCCTCCTTTGCACATTACAGACACATTTGCCCCTTTCTTCTCCTGTTCTGTATATATTTTCAGGACAAAACCATGCTCCATTTCAAATCCTCAGTGTAGGCTTGTATTTTAACTTCTTCCTGTCTCCTCACATCAAAAACAAAAAGCATGGGTACAGACATCATTGTAGACTACACATCCCAAATAGCGCCCAATTTCTCTTCAAGTCAGATTCTACAGACCAGCCAAATTGGCTATCCCAACACCTGAAAAAATGTCAGACTTTGTTTTCACCTCAAATTCTAGGGTCTCAGCACTTCACTTGGACTGAGCTAATCTTAGTTGTGGTAATGACTGCCTTGAAGTCAGGTGACAATTGCCCAGCTCGTTTTAGCTCCATTCCATGGGTAACATATGTGCAAAGATCTGACAAACTTACACAGTTACTGCTTTACAAACAGGGTGTACGCTAACTGGGGCCAGGGGAGGCAGATTGTGAGCTTTGACTAATTGCTAATGAGTGAAAACAGTAAAACTTTACCTGAGAACCAGATAAATAGCACGAGTAAGCAGACCATTATCCAACAGAAAGGTGTAACTATGGCAGGAAAGGAAATCACCACTGCAGTGACAGTACCCCTTTGCAAACCAGTATCAGCGAAAGAACAGGGAGACCTTGCTTCACTTACAAGGAAAAGCCAAACAGTGATACTATGAGTTTCTGAGACGTCATCAGATGTATGGAAAAGTAGAAGAGAAAACAAGTCTGACTGAAATCTTTCCTTCTCATCTCACTAACAATTAAATGAAGTTGAATCAGATTTAACCAAACTAGCCAGAACAAATAGCCCTGGGATCAGAGACAGCCCTCAAGTATTCAAGTGAAAAACTGTCATCCAAATCTTTATCTAAAGTTTGAGCAGACAGAAATGGTGGCACTTCACTGAGAAGTAAATGACTTTTGAAACCCTTCCTAAATCCGAAAGATTACAAAAATTTATGGTAATTTTCAACAGCCTATACCAGTAAGAGCATCCTCCTGCAGCTTTGTGTTCCTGTAATAAGTTGTCCTGGTTGCAGAAAGGGGTCAGAGCTTAGTGCCATGACCAAGTTGTTACTCTGTACCATGCAAGCCATCAGTGGAGGGCACAGTTTCCAAGGAAAACACTGGTGCTCCACTGGGAGTTGGCCATTTTGCCTGCCCAGCCATCATGCTGCCTTTGGTCAGAGGACACAATCTACTGGAAGCATCCACCATTATTCTTGTTCCCAGTGGTGAACACACGTTTTTGTCACTAAAATACCTTCTTTTTGTATCCTTTTACTATTAATATTGCTGTTGTTACTGTGCCATGTCTTATTCTTGCTTTGTGCTTTCAGTAAATTGCTACCTCAACCCACAAGTTCTGCTTTTGCACCTCCCTTACTGAAGACGTACAGGAGAAGGGGAGTGGCTTACTTGGAGTTTATTTTCCAGCAAATGCTAAAAGAGAATACAAGTTAAATAAAAAAACATTAATATAATCAGAGGCAGCACTTGTGTTAATGAACAGCTTATTATATTTGCCCATTTTGTCATACTCAACTTTCAAAAGTACACATTCAAGGCTGTGGTGTCAAACATTGGCGTCATCATCATACTCCATCTGGACCAGTTTTGTGTATGCAGCATTATGTACTTGGCATACAAAATTCAGACATTTTTGAAATATAGCTCATTTGAGAAGATGCACATCATTCCAATACCAATATCAAATGCTCTGTGGGGTCAGAAAGAATGTATATGTTAAGTTCACAAACTTGAGCATTTGAACATATTCATATATACCCCTTAACTGTAGTGAATGGTGCTCTAAACTCTTTTCTATATTGAAGTTTTCCTCTTCTATAAAAACTTTTTCATAATTTTGACTAACAACTTTCAGCTGGGAGTTCATTTTCTTCCTATTAGCTGGTACAGCACTGTGGTAGAAAAGACAAATGCTGATAACACACTAATGGTTTTAGTTGATGCTGAGCAGTGCTTACTCCAAGCCAAGGACTTTTTAGTTTCTCGTGTTCTGCCAACAAGGAGGTGCAGAAGAAGCCAGGAGGAAGCATGGCCAGGACAGCTGAGCTGAACTGGCCAAAGGGATATTCCACACCACAGAACATCATGCCCAGTATATAAACTGGAGAGATTTGGCAGTCACTGCTCTGGGATGGGTGGGCATCCATTAGTGGGGGCTGAGCAAGGGTATTGTGCATCACTCAACTTTCTTGGGTTTTACTCCTCTCTTGTTGTTGTTATTATTATGAGTAAATTTATTTCAATTATTAAACTATTCCTATCTCAGTCCATGGTCATGGGTATGACCTTTTTTTCAGTTTTCTTTCCCACCCCACTGTGGGAGTCTGCAGACCAGGGTGAGTGAACATCTGTGTGGTACTCCACTGCCAGACGGAGTTAAACCAGGGCACCACATTAAGCCATTTAACTACACCTTTCATTAACTTTGGTGTGCTTTCAGACAGCCACTGTACTTCAGCTCTTACAGTGAATTCACAACTTCATATGCCAGGCTCTCTCCATGTTAATCTTATCTTCAACAGGTCCAGTCAAAGCTAAAAATTTCTGTAAGAAATCAAATTCAATATTTAAGATTCTGTCTTTGGTGTACTTTCCAAGCTTTTTGTTTCACATGCTCTAGAATGTTTCAAATCGTAGGCCCACACAGTGTCTATTCCCTCTCCAGTAGTATGATCTGGAATCCAGCAAGGGAAAGGAAAGCGACAGGCAATGATCCTGGCATTACATTCAAGTTCTTCTTCTAGCTTCTTCTCCAGCTGTGGCATCTGTTGAGTTACAAGAAAAACCTCTCAGAAACAGTAAAAAACAAGAGCATTCTCTTCAGAATCTAATTCAGGTGTTCAAGAGAAATCCAAGACTTGAGTAACTTTTTTTTTTTAAATCTTAGGAAAATATTTGTGATAAGTGTTTTGGCTTTGATGCCTTGACAAAGAATATCTAAAAGCAGAAAATGGTTATTGTGGCCCCAGTTTGTGAGATCAAGGAAATTATAACTTGAAGATCTAAAAATTAAATAAAAGCCCATAAATTATCCCTTAAATTAAAAAAAAAAAAAAAAACAAAAAACAAAGAAACAAAAAAATACCACAACTGCAGGCAAAAGACTTTGCATGCTCCAATTCATGATTCTCTTCAGTGGGATTCTTCTCTGAGGGAATGAGAGTTCAGCCCCCTGAATTTATGCTATTTATGAAACCCCAAATTTCATGAGCTATTGTGTGATACTCAAAAGCTCAAAATGTACAGTCTAATCCTGAGACACTCAAGACATCACACAGACAACAACCCAAAGCAAATATTTTGCTGTCAGTCTATGGTAAAATTCTGTTACATTAAATAGTATTGAAATTGAGCTTAGTCAAATCCACACTCCATTAACATAGGCATGTGAATCCCTGCAGCAGCATTCCATGAACGAGGATGCAGAATCATGGAATAGTTTGGATTGTAAGGGATTTTTAAAGGTAGTCTAGTTGAACATCCCTGCCATGGGCTGGAACATCTTAAACTAGATCAGGGTGCTCAGAGCCCCATCCACGCCCCATCTACTGCCTCCCAGAGCAACCCATTCCAGTGTTCCACCACTGCATTTGTAAAATTTTTCTTACTTATATCTAAGATGAATCTGCCCTCCTTTAGTTTAAAACTATTACCCCTTGTCCTGTCCCTACAGGCCCTACTGAAAAGTCTGTGCCCATCTTGTTTACAAGCCCCCTTTAAGTACAATAAGGTCTCCCCAGAGTCAAGTCTTCTCCAGGGTGAATCACCCCAATTCTCTCAGCCTGCCTCTAGGAAAGGAGCTCCTCTGAACCCTCTCCAATAGGTCCACATCCCTCTTGTGATGGGGTGCCCTGGATGCAGCACTCCAAGAGAGGTCCCACCAGAGCAGAAGAGGGGGGCAGAATCCTCTCCCTCCCCGACACTGCTTTGGATGCAGTCCAGGACACGTTTGACTTTCTGGGCTGTGAGTGCCCATGGCTGGGTCCTGGTCCTGCCTCTCATCCACCAGCAGCCCCAAGTCCTTCTCAGCAGAGCTGCTCTGATCTGTTCATCCCCCAGCCTGTGCTGGTACTTAGAGCTACCCTCACCCAGGTGCAGCACCTTGCATTGGTCTTGTTAAACCTCGTAATGTTCCCATGGGCCCACTTCTTGTCCAGGTGCCTCTGGCGGGCATCCTGTCCTTCAGGCACTCAACTGGCACCACTCAGCTTGGTGCATCTGCAAACTTTTCTGAAAGTGCACTCAATCCTACTGTTTTATGCTACTGATGAAGACATGAAGCAGGACTGCTCCTAATACAGACCCCTGAGGGACACCAATTGTAGCTGATCTTCATCTGGATGTTGATTCATTGACAACTACCCTATGAATACAGCTATCCAGACAACTCCTTATCCACTGAACAGTCCATCCACCAAATCCATCCCTCCACAGCATAGAGAGCAGGATGCTGAGGGGCACTGTGTCACATACCAACTCTCCTTGGTTGAATACCTACAGTCCAGCTTTCCTCCATCCACAAAAATTGAGAGCATATGGAAGTCAGGGGAAATATCACCACTTTTCTAGAATACAGCAACACCCTGACCAGTCAAATGCTCTTTTTCTAATAAGTGCTTGGCAAATTCTGCCATGGATTAAGTGAGAAATAAATTAACACATGTAGACTTTAAAGAGTTTTTTTTTTTCCATCCCAGATAGTGATTATGTTCTAGGAAAAAAAGAGAAGCCTAACAGATTTAGCCACTTTTGTCCTTTGGAAAAGTTTGATGGTATGTTTAAGCAGATCAGCAGTGCACATCCATTTGGAGTTCCTTTTATTCTTACATATTGTATCTATCTGAAAGATTAATTTTAATGGCAAACTCTACAGACTACTTCTGTTATATGTAAAACACTATTTACTTTTATTATTGTGATGTAATGTTTAAATATTAAAAAATTTTAAACTGCAGTAGTTATTAACAAATTTAGCTGAATTTCAGTCACAAAGACAAAAATACATAAAATTTCAGAAAAAAGATGAAAGAAACAAAACTCAAAAGAACATTATTACAAAATAAGATTGACTAAAGAAAAGGTACTTCCTAAAGGCTGCAAAGAGCTTTCACTATCACATACATTCAGGGTGTGCCTTTGATGTAATATCCTATTATAGCTACATTTAAGCTAACAATGGAATATTTCAGGAAAATTACAGTCATAGATCTAATGTAGCAAAGAGTTACTCCCAAATATTTTTAAGGCTCTGATTTCATCCACACTGCAAATGCTTTTTAACATTTTTGCTGCCTTAAACAACTAGAAAAATAAACCTACAAGCACCTTCAACAAACTACAAAAATAAGCCCACTTTGTTATCTAAAACTGAGATGAGACACCAGAAAAAAATTTTTACAGAAAATATAGATATATACCAATTTTAGGAGCAATTATGGAAATTAGTGACACTGCATATCCCTATTAGCACAAATTAGAAAACATCATTAATAATTCAGCTAAGTTCGGCCAAAAATAATAATATCCCTGAACCAGTCAAACTAGTTTTTAAGCTAAATATATCAGTTACATTAGGTGTTACAATCATACTGTATTTTATGTGAAGCCAGGGTTTGGGGGAATTTTTTGGTGTGTCAACATAGATACATAGTTTAGTAAACCTTTTGTACAGCATGTAATCAGTTAAAATACACAGGAGCTGCAAACATGAACACCTGGCAAGAATTCCATCATCCTACCCTGAACAAGTCTCTCTCTGCAATAACTCAGAAACAAACCCACATTCCCCCCAGATGCCTGCAAGAACAAGAGAGGTCTTAGTCTTCCCTGAAGATCAGTAAATTCAGGTTTTTAAAGCTAATCTCGGATATGAAATAAAAGCACAGTGTGAAAGCATCAAATCAGGCCAGCATTATTAAAAAAGCTAAAGAGATCTATTGTTTCTCAATAAAAAAGACAAAATGCATTAAGGTTTCTAGAAAATTAATTGAGTCATTCAGGAGGCTGAGCATTAACATCTTCCAAAGCAAATTCAAAGGAGATCATAAGCAAACAAATGCTCAGGAAACACAAAGGTTCATATGTTTGCATCTGTTGCATTTATGACAGTTCTTTTGCTGAAAGAATTTAACCTAGTATTAACTGGACCTACAAAAGTTATTCTGAGCCCTACAGCTACCCTTTCTATCACAGCTGTTACTAATGCGTCCCACTTTATTACATTTAAAAGTTAACTCAGTATTTCTGCTGGGTTTACTCACATTTTCCCAGGGCATTTGTTTATTCCTAGCTTACTGAGCCAGCTTAACCCACCAGGGCTTTTCCCCTGGTGCAACGGCAGAATTCCTGACCGCAATTCCGAACGTTTCCAGTGCCCCCTGCCGGAACTCAGCAAGGGAGCACGTAACTGGCAGCAAGAGAAACACCCCGGTGCTCACTAATACCCCACCCTTACCCACTTCAGTTTCCAATACGAGTTACAATTGGAATCTGAAGTAGAGGTTTACCTCTGGTGCCTGGTGAAAAGAAAAAAAAAAACAAACAAGCAAACAAAAACACTACAGAATGGGAAGGTTTATTATGCTTCCTGTTAGTGCTGCAGAAATGCTTTCAGTGTGTGCTGTATGGTATGGCATCACATAAAGCTCTTCACTCACTGCATCTCACACCTGCCTTAGCAAAGGAACAAGCAATACAGAAGCACAGGATGACACAATTGGGTTTGTTCAGCCTGAAAGAGACGGCTTCAGGGGAACCCAACTGCAGCCCCCGGCACTGAAGGGAGCCTACAAGATGGAGAGGGACCTTCCACAGGCACACAGGACAAGGGGGAAAGGCTTCAAACTGAAAGAGAGTAGGTTTTGATTGGTATTAGGAAGAAATTCTTCACATGAGGGTGGTGAGGCAATGGAATAGGTTGCCCAGAGAGGTTGTGGATGTCCCAGCCATGGAATTGTTCAAACCAGGCTGGATGGAGCTCTGAGGAATCTGGTCTAGTCAAAAGTGTCCCTGTGCTCATGGCAGGGGGGTTGGAACTAGAGAAGAGAAGGTTGTGTGCAGACCTTATAGCAACCTTCCAATATCAGATGGGAACCTACAGGGAGGAATCTCCTGGTGAAGCTGGAGAGGGTCACTTCATCAGGAACAGCAGAGATAGGACAATGGAGAACGGGAAAAAACTGAAAGGGGAAATTTCAGTTAGCCATTATGAAGAAATTCTTTACTGTGAGAGTGGTGAGACACTGGAATAGGTTGCCCAGGGAGTTTCTGGAAGCCCCAACCCTGCAGTGTTCAAAGCCAGGCTGCAACCTGGTCTAGATATCCCATGCACAGGGGACTTGGGACTTAATGATGTTTAAGGTCCCTTCCAACCCTTAACATTCTCTGATTCTATGATTATTACTGACTGTCTTTGACCATCTGCAGGTTAATTCATTTTGCAGATTAATGTATGTGCACTACTTGTACACTATTTGTTATAAAGTTTAATTAAAATAATTAAACATTGTAACAAATAAACAGTATAATAAATAAAATACAATAGCATAATAAAAATAAAAACTAAATAGTAAGCTTACCATTTGAGGTACTCCAAAAACAACAATATTTCTATAATGGGAAAAAGAAACCTAAAATAAAATTTGAGAACAAATCTTATTGAAAATGACATTTACACTTAGAGACATTCTCACCATTCTTTTCTCCTAATCCCTCTAGCTGCATTTCCTTCAACAGGGATTTAGACCAAAAATATGTAAGGAGATCCCTTACCAACTTTTCATCACAAAAATTTCCACATAAAGAAAATTTATACTGCTGAACAGCAAAAAACTTCTACTGTCTGGCCAAGAACATGGAATAGCAATTCTAGAAGCACAGAAAGCATGAATTTAGAAAACACCAATATGACTTTACTAATAACTAAAGAGTTTTTTTCACATCTCCTGTATACGATAAAATCACGTATGCTTTAAGTTCACCCCTTCTTTTGTTAAATGTTAGCTAGCTATAAAAACTTCCTAGGCATTCTAATGACTGAGTTTTTCCACTCAGCACCATCAAGTTCTCCTATGCTCCTCTCTGAACACAAACACCCCCACAGCCAAAAAAACCCTCCCACATAATTCATCAGGCCCAGGCTTGCTCAAGGAGCCCCTGATGATAAAGAAAGCACTTGAACAAAGCCCAAAAGCAGCAGAACAGCACACTGAGCCCAAAGAAATCAAAATCCCAGTACAAGAACCCTGCTCAAAGCTCAGTGTAGCACCTTGTGGTCAGACAGCATTTCAGTTTTTTCAGGAAAGTATTTCCAAACTTATAAAATCTCTCAATCATCCCAGACCTCTTCTTACATAATTCACTACTTACCTTCCATAAATCTGAAATATAAAATTTGGTGTTCTGATGTACTCCATCTCTCCAGGCACGATATCTGGAGTACCAGACTAGCCAGGGATTCAATTCATATCCAACAGCCTGGAATCCCTTTTTTGCAGCTGCTATCACCTACAAGAAAGAAAATAAATCTTCACTTTGAAACATAAAAGTCTATTCACCTAAAGAGAAGCACACAGTTTTATTTAAAATATAAATCAAAGGAAAGCACTTTTCTAAGTCACCCTGGGTTTAACACCCAACAGATCAGCTGTATAGCGAACAAAAAACTCAAAACTACATTTTACTACTATTGCTAGACCTGACTGAAATATAGCCAGGCAAACAAAATGAAAACAAACATTCAAGGGCAAAGCTGTGAGCTTGCAGTACATCTATGATTCATATAAAAGTTTAAATTAACACATTCATTAGAGTATCTTGGAATTGAATACAACCAACATTGATCACAGAGAGAACAATGCAACTCACAAGCAAAAATGCTCAAAATTAGACCACTTATTTGAAAAGCAGTGAGAGATAGGCAAGTGAGCAGCCCCTGAATCAGAGCCAAAAATAAATCTATTATATTATATTATTATATTAAACATACCAATAAAAAGAGTGTGAAAGCAATCTTGATCTACATTGAAAAAAAAATTAAAATGCACTGATTTCTAGAATAAAGGCTTAAAACAAAATTTAAAAGGCTACTGCAAACTTCTAATCAGCAATGGCCTGATGAACTATCAATTACAAAACAAGCATGGTGAAATCAGAAAGTACACATTTCTTAACAGAACTTCTCAGCTTTACCTGGACTATATATTCACACTGTTAAAATAATGCATCCTCCTTCCATCAACACAGCACACTTGCAAATTCCCCAAAAGAATCTGACATTTTTACCACACTTGGAAATGTGGCAAATATCTTCACATTTATACACTGATTACACCTGAGTAACTGCTAAATAATTAAAAGCATCTGAACAGACTTTTTTCAGGACAGATGCATCAAAGAAGCACCAAGCATTCCTTTTTAGGCACCTGCTTTCCAAATAGTCTCCATTTAGGCACCTAATGACACTGAACCTATTGAAATTAAATACCTCTGATGAGAGTCAGCAGCCACAATGCCTCACAGAGGGCATCAGAAACTGCAGTTATCTCATGCCTAAGTTTTTTGGTGTTTTTCCTACCCAGGCACAATTCACACATTCTTTACAGATCTGGAGTTCCAAGTAATTTTTTTTGCATGGACAAATAGTTGACTCATTCACATAAAACATGGACAAAGGCAGCGTTCAAGAACTCGTGTGTTTCCATCAAAAACCACCACCTTGTTGCTAACTCTGACTTGAAGCAGATAGTTACAAAAAAGCACACAAAACACCACAGCAACAAAAGAAAAACCAAACCACCCAATTTTCTGCTATATCCTCACCACATTTCACAAACTGGGGCTCAAGCAGTACCCTGGAAACACAGTATCACTTTTTCTCCCATGATTCTCACCATTGGTGTTCTCGCTCTCTCTCGGTGTTTATTCTAGTTTTCTAGTTTCACCACATGAATTGGGAAGTGGGGAAGCCAGCAGTGCTTCAAACAAAGGTTTCAGGACTACAGTTCTAACCACACCAGGATTTTTATTTTTATAACCCATCGCTCACTGCCCGTTTCTTTTTGCACTTGTATCACCTTTATACATTAAATATCTCACAGCCTCACTCGCTGCAGCTACACACCTTTGTGCAATCACAGCTCTTTTGCAATCAGTACCAAGACTCTGACAGCATCTTTTCAAGTGAGTGCACTGTTACTCCCTCCAGTCACCACAATGACATTTTGTCCACTACCTTGGACAAGCTACAGGTAAGATTGCAGCAAAAGCTATTTATTACCATCAAAACTGAATGTAAACCTTTCTCAGCTTTGATCCGTTCCATAAGACTTAAACACAACCACCGGATGCCAAAGACAAGACATTTTTAAGTGTGAGAAAACACAGCCCCAGCACTGTGGCACTTTTTTAAGAGGTGACCTAAAAAGAAGGCAACATCCTTAACTTACAATGCGGCCATCCCCGCTACCAATGTCAACTAGGGAGCCGCTCCTGTTTTCCAACATTTTCAGCACATTCTGGATCTGTTCGGCGGTGGCAGGAACGAAGGGCAGGCACACCTTCCTCAGGGCCGGGGTGACGAAGGGGGTGGCCACAGCATAGAGGGCCACCAGGGCGCCCCCCAGGCTGGCCGTGACCAGCAGGCCCCAGCCGCTGCTCCGGGAGCCGCCCTCTCCCTCCTCCCGCGGGGCCGCCTTCGCCAGCGCCGGGCACATCGCGCTGGGGGACAGACGGACAGACACACAGTGTTTTCGCTCACTTGAGGCAATTCAGTATCTTGTAGCAAAGAGCTACAACGTAAGAGATTAAAAACCCCACCCTACACTTCAGCCGATCCCAAGGAAACGCTACAGAAGCCGGAAGGCTGAGGCACGAGGGGCCAGGAACGCGGTTCCCATTTAAACCCCCGGCCCTCCACAAGCGGGCGGGCAGCAGCGCGCCCCGAGCAGCTCAAGGGCGGCGCAGGCAGGGACCTGCCCGCCTGGGGAACACGTCCCGGAGTTACTGCTCGTCCTTTGCGGAGGAACTTTTCACTGGGACACAGCGACACCCGCCACACACACACTCCGAGTCCCCAATGACCAACCCAGCCTTATGCTCGGCCTGCAACACTTATTGGGAAGGGCAGTACCACTTCACTAAGACGGGGTGGAGGACCGAAACCTTTCCGAAGGCGCTCCGGAGAGAAGCACCGCGCACGCTTTTCCACCGCGTGTCTGTCTTCCCTCCTCCGCCCTCACATCACCCGGCGCAACCCACTGCCGCCCCGCTCGGTGCCCGCTCTCGGTACGTCCTCCGTATCCTTCCTTCCCTCCCCGCCCCCGTGAGCCGGGGCGTGCGGCCGCCAGCGCCGCGCTCCTCCCTCGGCGCCGGGCGGCTTCCAGAAGGCTCCTCTGGGGGCGCCACAAAGCTCCCGCCCGCGAAATAAGGCGCGGCTGTAGCGGCTGCGCAGGCGCGGGGTGGGGCGCGGTGTCGCGGCGGGCGCGGCGGCTTCCGGGCGGTGCGCGCGGGCGGCGGCGGTCGGAGCAGGCGGTGCAGCCATGTCGGCCATGGGGACTCTGGCGTTTGACGAGTATGGGCGGCCCTTCCTCATCCTCAAGGACCAGGAGCGCAAGACGCGCCTCATGGGGCTGGAGGCGCTCAAGGTGAGCGAGCGGGCCGGCCGCCGGGGCCGCCTGCGGGCCCGCGCTGGCTGGGCCGCGCCGCGCCATGCCATGCTGTGCTGTGCTCTGCTGTGCTGTACCGCGCCATGCTGCCGCGGGAGGATGGAGCCCCTGGGGCGAGGCGCTGCCGCGCTCAGCGCCAGCCCCGCCCGAGGCACAGGGCGGATGGAGCCTGGACTAGGCCCGTTAGCGGGGGAGAGATGGAGGAAGAGAGAAGGCATGGCCCCGGGGCTGGGAATCCGCGGCACGTCGTGGATGCGCCCCCCGGCTGCGGGGCTTTGGGGCCGTCATCCCCGTGGGCGCAGCGCGTCTCTCCCCGTGGCTCCTGCCCCAGTGCCCCCTCCCTCAGACCGCAGCCTAAAGCTCGGCCGCTGAAGGAAGGCCGGGGCTGAGTGCGGGTGGCACAAATCCCGACAGAATATGCTAGCGGACATTAGAACAGAGGTTGTGGATGCACCATTCCTGGCAGCGTTCAGGGAAGTGTATGGGGCACTGAGCAACCTGGTCTAGTGGAAGGTGTTCTGCCCCTGACAGACGGTGGGACCTGGATGATCTTAAAGGCCCCTTCCAAGCCACACCATCCTGTGATGATTCTGTGATGGGTAAAATTGCGCTGCCATTGCACTGCCTTCTCTTTTTAGCCTTGCCGGCTTCTGTTGCTCCCTGCTTTGAGCATTAGAGCTGTCATTTGCCTGCTCTGCTTTTTAATGCTTTAGCAGAGCCAACACAAGCAATACAAGAAAAGGCATAGGAAAAGTTTCTGTCATAAGACCAGTACACACATACTGATTATTTTTCATAGTTGTTGTCAGTTAAATCACAACATCTGCACTACTCACTGTGTTTTCCTTAGCTTAATATTGTGATTTCAGAATGCATGATAATGATTTAACTTCTGGCTTTGTTATCTTTTGTTTTGCAGTCCCACATAATGGCAGCAAAGGCTGTAGCAAGTACTCTGAGAACATCCCTTGGGCCCAATGGTAACAATAAAAAACTTTTAGCGGTTCTCTCTTAGTACTTGTTGTGGGGGAATTTTCAAAATTTTCCTTCATTCTTTGAACATATATATCTTAGGCTTGGACAAAATGATGGTGGACAAGGATGGTGAGGTGACTGTGACAAATGATGGTGCTACCATCCTGAATATGATGGATGTGGATCACCAGATAGCCAAACTCATGGTGGAACTGGCTAAATCTCAGGATGATGAGATTGGGGATGGAACTACTGGAGTCGTTGGTAAGAAAGTGTTTGAAATTTTGCTTCCTTTTTCAAGTTTAAAATCAAGCTGCTTCAGCTATTAAAAAAAATTGTGAGAAATAACAGTAGCTTTTTTGTAGCACTTCTTTGGAGTATTTATTGTTGCAGTATTCCTGTCAGTTCTTGTATGAGGAATCTTCTAATCAGGAAGTTTTTTGTGTCTTTTTGAAGTTTGGTTACGTTTTGAGGTAGTGCTGAGAGCCCCCCCCCTTTGATACTTTCAAAATTTTTTGCAGAATTTTCTTCTGTAGTCTCCTTGTCCTGCCTTGATGCCTGTACTTCATTTTGGTCTTAACATAATGTGGTTTTCTTGCTAAGCAAAGCAAGTAGGGGTTTTCATGTTTTTTTGTTATTTAGGAGACCTTGAACTCTTTTAAGCATTGCAGAAAAATCAGAAAATGTGCTTTTTAATCTGTTGATAATATACTTAAAATTATGTTCCAATCAAGAATAAAAGTGGGGTTTTTTGTTGTTTTTTTTAATAGTTCTGGCTGGGGCATTACTGGAACAGGCTGAGCAGCTGCTGGACCGAGGCATCCACCCCATCAGGATAGCAGATGGTTATGAGCAGGCAGCACGCATTGCTATTGAGCATCTAGACAAAATCAGTGACAGCTTCCCAGTTGATCCACAGAACATTGAGCCTCTGATCCAGACAGCAAAGACAACTCTGGGCTCTAAAGTGTAAGTCACAAAAAGTGAATATTGAATGGATATTTACCCTTCCACTGAAAACTTTCTGCTTGGAAAGGAGAAATCCTGGTGTTTTGTTTGTGTTATTGGAGTGCTGCTAAAAGCTCCTCTGTGTTTTGTTGTGGCTAATTCCTCTATGGACTCTTGTCTCAGGGTAAGAAATTGTGAATCCTTTGTCTCCAAAGGGTCAATTCCATGAAGTTAAATAACTGCAGCATCATTCTGACCTGTTATTTGCAGGCTTCTACATCATGGCAGGTTCCAAAAGTAATGTAAATCTGTTAAAAATAATATGTCATATTTTGGGGTTTTTGCCGCTAAAAACATTTTAACTTAGGATGGTTCCAAAAGTTTCTTTTCCTTTCTGGGTTCTATGTGTAAATGTATAAATTCAGACATTTGAAGGGCTTCCCTTGCAGTGTTGTCTTACACATGGTTTCTGTTTCTTGAATGTTCTTTAGTAACAAGTTCTCCTGACTGGTTCCAAATCTGTGCTGAGACTCCATTGACAGAGGTCCCTCACACCAACCATGCTGTGTGTTCAGTTTTCTGCCATAGCCAGCACCTTCTATTTCTGTGAACAAACAAGCAGGACCCCCTCTTTTAATACACTGTGCAAAAGCTGACTTCTTGCTGTTTGAATGATGGATAGAATCACCTTTTTCTCCCAAATGGTGGAAATGGAGTAAACTTGATTGTATTTTGTTCAAACCTAGAGTGAACCGCTGTCACCGGCAAATGGCAGAGATTGCTGTGAATGCTGTTCTGACAGTGGCAGACATGGAACGGAAAGATGTTGATTTTGAGCTGATCAAAGTGCAAGGCAAAGTGGGTGGAAGACTGGAAGATACACAGTTGGTTAAAGGAGTGATTGTGGATAAAGATTTCAGTCATCCACAGATGCCTAAAGTAAGTCATGTCCTTGTGTGTGTCTCTTGTGTGTATTGGCTTAAATAAGAGTTTCTAGCCTCCCTCAAGTGTCACCCTATCATTTATTAAGTATTTACACAGTCTTGTCATTTAGCCTGGCTTTCCACCAATATATCAACAGAGGAAGGGGCAAAAAGCATGAAATTTTTGATATTGGAAGAGATCAAGTTAGAATTTATAAAAATATTGAGAAAGTGTGGTGGAAGGGAGGAATTACTGTACTGCTGAGTGAGGACAGGTGCAAGATTCTGTTTTATGTAGAAATAATTATCCCTGGTGTGTGATATGCTTAGTGCAATGCTGTGTCAAGATTCTAAACCTTTATGAATTGCCATTTTGTCCTGTTTGGAACACCCCAGAAGCTGTCCTTGTTTTATGTTTGGTGTAGGTAAGGTCTCCGAGTCTTTGAGCAGTCTACTTCAAGAAAGGTTCTACTGCTCTAAAATATTCATCTAGCAGGTACCCATGTTTATCCTGTGGAAAGGAGGACTAGTCGAAAATAATGGTCATGTAATAGTTGAAAAGCTGTTACAAAGATGAGTGGTGTTCTCAGTGGTCACAGTGGATAGGGATGGTTTAATTTAATTTTTCTATTAAACCATAAAAAGGCATAACTGGTAAAGATGGTTAAGGGCTTAAACAGTGTCTTGGAGCTATGGATTTTGTTCTAAGTGGTTTATTGAGACTATTGACAGAATTATTTAGTTATACTTAGTTAACTTTAGAGTAAGTCAAATGATCTTCACATTGTTCATGTGTTTGTGTTTATAAAGACACATCTGTATGCTTTGCAAATACAAAAAAAATGTTAATCAGGTCATAAGTCTTTTTTTTTTTTTTAATTGCCCAGGAGCTAAAGGATGCTAAAATTGCCATCCTTACTTGTCCATTTGAACCACCTAAGCCTAAAACCAAACATAAGCTTGATGTCACATCTGTGGATGATTACAAGGCACTGCAGAAATATGAAAAAGAGAAGTTTGAAGAGATGGTGAAGCAGGTAGCCTTCAGGATTATTTCTGTTTTCTTTATCTTTCATAGCCTTTAGAAAAAAACAGCATAGTGCATTGATTTGCTCCTGTAAACGAGCTGCTAATCCTGGTGGGAAGCAACATACAAGCAGTTGTAATGCTGTGAATCAAAGATGATATAATGTAAGAAAGAGATACCAATTTGGTTCAAAATATATTTTGATCTCTGTGTGTGCCAGGAGGTTCTTCTTGAGAATTGTCTTTTGAGAAAATTGGGAGAATTAAAACCACAAAGAATGTTTTTCATTCCTTTGTTAGTTCTGATCAGAAGGTTGATGATTTGTGTTGTTTTTAGATAAAAGACACTGGTGCAAACCTTGCCATTTGCCAGTGGGGTTTTGATGATGAGGCAAATCACTTGCTGCTCCAGAATGAGCTGCCTGCTGTTCGTTGGGTTGGTGGACCTGAATTAGAAGTAAGTAAAACTGAGCTTTGCACCAGCTGTTAAAACATTTATGAAGTAATAGGCTGTACCAGCTAAAAGTTCAGGCTTTCTGAGTATCACTGCATAATTGTGTATATGGGTGGCTATTGGAGAAA